GTTTTATCGTTTTTAATAGCAGACCTTCTTCAAGATTCACTTCTTGAAGTATGTATGCATTTTTTTTTTTTTTTTCACCCATAACATAGAACCCGTCTATAACATTTGTATTCAAAGGCATTTCATGCGCTGTTCAGCATGTTTATCAAGTGTCCAGGTCTCACAGACGTATGTTGCAATGGGAAAGATGCTTGCTCTTAGAAATCTAATTTGTGTAGTTCTGTCTGTCCCACTCCATAATTTATTCCGCTGTTTTAGTCTTTGAAGAGCAACTGATAGTGGTCGAACAAATACACTGTATAAGTGCAGTCGCTAAGCTTTCACAAACAATATAATAGGGCCTATAACTTTTATAAGTAAACAGTTACCGCAACAATAGACATATTTAAAGCAGAACATATATATTTAAGATAGACCCAAACCTTACCATGCTGCGATATCCACCATGCGCTAGAAATGTCCTCGAATCAATTCAGTCAGCTTACACAGCAGAAAACTAACTTACCGTTGTTCACATTACAACGGTAAACATCTGATATAACGGGTATATCAATAAGATCAACATTGTAGGATGTTCGCACAATTATCTGTATAGTTTTGTGGGGTGAACTATAACTGTTATTACAACCGCGGTTTTTACATTCAGGTATCTGGTGTAGTTTCTCACTGCTTCACCAAAAATGAAATGTAATGCAAAGAAAAATTTCTCTGGAATGTTTTCTTGTTGTCGTCAGGCATATAATACAGTTAATGCCTTTAAAGAGCCGAGACGCTCCATCTGTGTATGTGTGTTACAGATCCCTCTGTATAAATAGAGAAGGCCGTGGTCTGTTACATGTATAGCTGTTGTGTTGTTTGTGATTTAGCGTGGTTTGTTCTGTTTCTTGCCAGACAGAAGTTAGTTGCTGTTGCTTGACTATACTCCGCCACATGAATATCTCAATGAACTACGAATGAAAGCTCCAGATTTTTTTGTTTCATGAATAACAACAAAAGTGTTCAGACCACCACAAAATATAACTTATTCGCTAAACGGACACGTAATCCCAGTATACAAGTCTACACATTAAAGTACTCTGTGACTGTAGCTTCTACACATGCGCTACCAAGATCTGCTTCACTTCCAGAGAGAAATGTATATGAGATTTAAGTTACAGTTCCAGAACCGATTGGAGGACACAAGTGCAATCAATCCATGCTCGGTAGCGTTCGATCTGCTAGACACCCCTTCCCCTTCTCTCCCTCCCCCACACATACACATACAATGGTACCCTTACAAAATAGCTTATCAAATTCCCTGCACAAACACTCCATGGGTCATGTATTCAAAGTCCCGACAACTTCTGACCCAGTTCTGTTTGACATAAAAGTCAGATCCCTGTGCTGTCGAAAGGAATTTACAGATAATACCGACTGTTCAATACGTGTCAATTACCTGAGTGTTTTTACTGTAAATCTTTCTCTTCTTCGAGTCCAGAATTTTTCATACCCTTAATGGGATTTCTCGGCTTCTCCAATGTTTCATGGGTGCAGAGGTGACAAGGCCTGCTACTGTATGTAGTTTTTATAAATAACAATACAGCTGAATGCTAATTGGCTTATATCTACTTAGTTAGCTTGTTATATTATTATTCGTCTTGGTTCGTGTGGCTAGAAAATTCAACATCACAGCATTCAGGACAAGCCCATATTAGCGCTGTCCCACTCCTCAACAGCCAACTAAGAGTTTCCATAGTGATGGTAGCGGTTGTCGTCTGGTTAACTATTATTATTATTATTGTCATTCCCTTTTGCTCCTCTTTTTTTTTTTCTTATGCGCCTCCTCCTCAGCTGTCGTTCATCTTGTATGTTTGTTTATAAATATTTGGTAGCATCTGCGACATGTGTAGCCAGCTTGCCTGCCTGCTCAATGGGCGTGTGCTCAAGTGCTCGCGCAGTCGAGGATTTTGTCTGTTTTAATGCCATAGCCACACCATCTCCAGCTAACCTAAAATATGTGCCAAGAATGATATGGGAAGCAAAAGCGGACTGTGTGTTATTGACCTCCTCACTAGCATGTTGCTATGGTTCTGATTTTTAAAAAAAAATCAAAAATCTCGTTCGGTCAGAGGCGTCGCCATGAAGCAAACATGGGGTAAAGTCAGCCTGGGCCACTTCTATTCTACTGGGGGTCAGGGACTTCAGGATATGAAACCTTGTTTAGTTGCACAGCAATATTCGTGACTGCTGTATGGTAAAAACATATTTGGTCGTGCTGTGCTATGATGCAGAGAGCCGGCCTCATCAAGCGGCATCGTAAGGAGGCAGCATAATCAGTGAAATCAAAATACAATTGGAACGTTTAAGGTTCGGCATTTGGAAAACTTACACCATACTGGGATATCTACGACACGGCCCTGAATATATAGAAAATGATATGTATGAATAAATGCTTAAACACATGAATGGTGAGGGAGGGAGTGGGGCCTCAGCCACTTCCTAAACAAATGTGGGGTACTAA